ATACAAGTCACTACCAACACTAGCCTCAAAGGCTGGGGCACTCATGGCAAATCCTTAAAAATTCATGCCCAATGGTCAGAAAGGGAGAAATTGCTCCACATCAATGAACTAGAGCTGTTAGCAGTGATAAAAGCGTGCAAGGCTTTCAGAGACCATCTTGCAAGCAAGATGGTGCAAATCGCTAGCGACAACACTACAGCAATGTATTATATTCTCAAGCAAGGAGGCACCCATTCTCCAATCCTCCTGTATCTTGCAGTCAACCTCTGGGAATGGTGGTCTGTCACATCATATCTGCCTCACAGCATTACACATAGCCGGCCAAAACAACAATCTGGCAGATCTCCTCAGTCACAAGGAATCCCAAGCTCACGGATGGGAGCAAGACCAGTCTGTCTTTCTCCGTCCCTGCAAACGCTGGGGCACACCCACCATCGACCTCTTTGCCTCCCGGACAAATCAGAAGTGCAAACGGTACTGCTCCCACGCAGGAGTCGGCAAGCACTTATGTGGAGACACATTCGTAGGCCGATGGCTCAGGATCCTTGCTTACCTTGTCCCACCATTTCCGTTCCTCCACAAATAGTAGTCCAGCTCCAACAGGACAAACCCAATGCTATCCTGATAGCTCCATGGTGGCCGCGACAGCCCTGGTTCCCGGTTTTACACAATCTGTCATCAGATATCCACCTCCTGCCTCACCTGCTCATGCAAGGCAAAATTCAAATTCTTCACCCGGACTTTCCTACTCTGCACCTGGCAGCATGGAGGATTCTGCCTCCCTGATGAATGTCCTCCATCAGGCGAGGAAACCCTCAACTAGGACAGCTTATCTGTACAAGTGGAAAAAATTCTAGTCCTTTACTGAAGCCTCTACCCTACCTTTATTGAAGTCTCTCTCTCCACTGTCCTTCATTTTCTGCTTCATCTTAAAGCCAAGGGCTTTTCCCTTTCTTCCTTGAGGGTTTACCTCTCTGCAATTGTTTCCTATCAACCACCAACCTCCCTAGCAGCTCAGTTCTTCAGATACCCTACTCTGAAGCGTTTCCTGAAGGATGTGCATCCACCTTCACGTCAGTTGTCTTTAACAATAGTCCTGCAGCAACTCACCAAGGCCCCATTTGAGCCCTTAGCTTTTGTTGATCTTAGACTACTTACCTTTAAAACAGTGTTCCTCGTTGCTATCACATCTGCTCGTCGTGCCGGTGAACTTGCAGCCTTGCATCATTATTATTCTTATCTCCAGTTTTATCCAGATAAGGCCAAATTGTTGTAGGTACTGTATTTCCTTTCTCCCCAAGGTTGTTTCCCAGTTTCATATGTTCCAACCGTTGGTTCTCCCATCCTTTTTTCCATCTCCATCTACTACTCAAGAAAGAATCTTCCATACTCTGGATGTCAGACGGGCTTTAGCACTTTATTTAGTCTGCACACAACTCTTTGGACATTCAGCTCGAATTTTCGTCAACTCCCAGCCCCCTACGAAGGGTTTTACAGGTAACATCACAAAGAATCTCCAAATGGGTTGCTTCTATCATCCACCAGGCATACCAGCTTGCTCAAAGGCTAGCTCCTCAGGTGATTCGCCCTCACTCCACCAGGGCAGTGGCAGCTTCCACGGTGTTTCTTTGCGGGGTTCCTCTTCTGGACGTCTGTGCCTCTGTATGTTCCAACCGTTGGTTCTCCCATCCTTTTTTCCATCTCCATCTACTACTCAAGAAAGAATCTTCCATACTCTGGATGTCAGACGGACTTTAGCATTTTATTTAGTCTGCACACAACTCTTTGGACATTCAGCTCGAATTTTCGTCAACTCCCAGCCCCCTACGAAGGGTTTTACAGGTAACATCACAAAGAATCTCCAAATGGGTTGCTTCTATCATCCACCAGGCATACCAGCTTGCTCAAAGGCTAGCTCCTCAGGTGATTCGCCCTCACTCCACCAGGGCAGTGGCAGCTTCCACGGTGTTTCTTTGCGGGGTTCCTCTTCTGGACGTCTGTGCCTCTGTCACCTGGTCACAGCCGTCCACATTCATCAAGCACTATAGGTCGGATGTTCGGCAAAAATCTGATGCAACCTTTGGATGTGCTGTGCTAGCTTCTACCTTGGCATGAGACCCTCCTCTGGGTAAGACTGATTGTTAGTTACCCAGGGTGTGGTTCACAGAGGCCACAAAGAAGAACGACAGGTTACTCACCTGTAGTTGTAGTTCTTCAAGTGGACCTCTGTGATTCACACATCCCGACCTGGCCTCCCCACTGTCATGCCATGCAGCTTTAATATGTGGCAGTTGGCCTAACTGGAGGGAGAGTCTTGGCGCCAAGGTACATATACAGAGGGGGAGGGGTCTACACGAATGTGGGTTTTTGCTACCGCAGAAGCTATAGAATCTTCTGACAAGGCTCCACGCAGACACAGAATACCCAGGGTGTGAATCACAGAGGTCCACTTGAAGAACTACAATTACAGGTGGGTAACCTGTTGTTCCTCTTTATTCTTGGAAAGATAACCAGTTGTAAAAGCAAATCCTTGTATTAAATGGCTAGTAAATAAGTTATAGTTTGTTTTGAATTGACTTAATAGACACTAGTGATTTTTCAAAAGTGATTTTTAAAAAGCACTTAGTTACAGTACTTGCAGCTTGTTATTTCCAGGTTTTGGTCTTGAATGTTAGGTCATGATATGGTAGAGATTGTTGGCTATGGTTGGGAAAATATTACAGATAGTCTCTAGAGTTATTCCTTGAAAATCTTAATCAACAAAAACATGTAAGACATATTCAGCTGTAAAGCTTATTATGGAATGTTTCTGACAATTTGATTTTCAATTGTATAGATGAAAAAAGCCTGGATGCTAAGTGTGGTAAGTTTTAATGCATTACTTCGGCTTTTAAAATCTTAATATCCCACTTCCCTATCTTGTTGAAGATTTTCTAATCCCTTGGAGTATTGTGTTTTCCCTCAAGGCTTCTGTGAATCCTGTCAGTGGTGAGATAATGCCTGCCATCTTTAGACCACCAGGTAGGTTTCCATATATTGTTTACAGAAAACTAAAGATAAAAGCCTGTGTGACACATTACTCTGAATAATGTTAATACTGGTCGGCTGGGAAATCCTAGCAATGGAAGTCATGCTGTTTGTTACTTAAACTTCTTTTTGAAGAGTAGCACACAATCTGGAAGCATTTTGATGCATTCCAGGAACATATACAGTGGTACTTTGCAAGGCGAAAGTAATTCGTTCTGTGAGTAGTGCTGTCTTGCAAAATCTTCATCTTGCGAAAAGCAGTTTCCCATAGGAATGCATTGCAATTGCAATGCATTCCTATGGGAACCTTGCAAGACGAATGAATTATTTTCATCTTGCGAAGCACAGCCATAGAAGAAGCCTTCTTGCGAGGCACCACAGCGATCGCAAAAACCATTTGTCTTGCAGGTTTTTCATTCAGTGAGGCGTTCGTCTTGCGAGGCACCACTGTACTAGGATATAAAGATTTGTGTTTCAATTGAAACATTTCTGGTCTTCATTGTTACTGTGATTGATTAAGAATATAAAAGCACTGTATTTCACAGGTAGTGAAATGTCAAGTTTTGAAATGATGTAGTTATTGTATTGTTTTCCGTGGGATAACTTTTTTAAAAAAGTTCTATATAATGATTTTTAAGGCCTGGCTATTGTTTGGAAGATTTGGGGTTGCCAATCCTTGAATAGCAGCTATTTCCTTCTAGTGTACTGACTGCAGAAAAGAATCAACACTTTGTTGTATAGTTTCCCTGCAGAAACAATTAGTTTCTAAACTTACAACTTTCATGCGGTTTTGATTCTCTGAAGCACTTCCATTTTTTTCTTTTGCATATTATAATTTCATAGAGCCTCATAAACTGCCCCAGTTAGTTTATAATGAACTAATGTAGATCTGGACAAATAAGCCAGAGTGCTTTATTTTTCAAGATCCTTTCCTTTCTTCAATAATATTTTAATTTCATATAGAATTTCCTTATGTATTTACTTAGCTCATAGGCATATAGAGCCGACATAAAATTGATTCAGTGGGTCAGCTCTAGTTGGGTCTAACAGTTGGGTTTAGACTATTCCAATGAATCAATGGGGTTTTTGTTTTTGTGTTGTTTTTTCTAGGACACTGCATTTGCTTTACACATTCCTACATTTATTTTATACTTGAAACAGGCTTACTGCCAGATACTTCATTCTGTCAAATTTTGCTGCTGTACTGTATGCCATTTGGATTCACTTTTGGGCTGAATTGCGCATTTAAATTCCATCAGCCTCTGCCTAGGGAGAAATCAGTATTCCGCTGTTATATGAGATTCTAGTAGACATTGTTTGTTTCTCTTGTTAGTTTACTAAGAACAGTTGATTTTTATTAAACAGTTCTTTTTCCCTTTTTCTCTCTTTTAAAGCTTTCACGCTATGCACTTTTCCACTCCATCTTGTCCAGGTTCAGCCTCAGCCCGTTCTCCTGCATCCATTCCCGTACGGTCTCCAGGCAACGCTGAAGGGACAGAACGGCATCTCCTGTAGTTGGAAAAACGGAGATGTAGAGCTGTGTGTCATCCGCATACTGATGGCACAGTGCTCCACACCCCCTGATGACACACCCCCAGCGGCCTCATATAGATGTTAAACAGCATTGGGGAGATAATCGACCCCTGTGGGACCCCACAATTGAGGCTCCACGGGGCCGAGGTATTCTCCCCAAGCTGTACTCTCTGGGGACGGTCCTCCAAGAAGGAGCGGAGCCAGGCGAGTGCCCGGCCACCTATTCCCAACTCGGCGAGCCTCCCCAGGAGGATACTGTGGTCAATGGTATCAAAGGCCGCTGAGATATCGAGGAGGACCAGCAGAGACACTTTTCCCCTGTCGGCCTCCCTCAATAGGTCATCACACAGGGCGACCTTTTATTTCCTTTTACTATAAATCACATTAAACAGAATTGTCCTCAAAGCTCACCATTTGATATGTTGCTAAGAATGACTGGAAGTGTCATGTTGGCCTTTGAGCTGAATTGTGTATTTAAGTTCCATCAGCCTCTGCCTAGGGAGAAATCAGTATTCCGCTGTTATATGAGATTCTAGTAGACATTGTTTGTTTCTCTTGTTAGTTTACCAAGAACAGTTGATTTTTATTAAACTGTTCGTTTTCCCTTTTTCTCTCTTTTAAAGCTTTCACGCTTTGCACTTTTCCCTTGGTGAGTAATGATGAAAGTTTCCGAAATGTCTGTGTGCAGTGAAGTTGCCAGGTGTCCTGTGTTATGTGTAGTTCCATAGGATTCTGTACTGAAAAATTTGAATGGACTGAGAAAGAAATCTAGCTGACTTGTTTGCCTGAAAAGTCACTGCACCCTCCACTCTCTTTCCTGACCCAGTTTAACAGATTTAATCTATTAGTCCATGGCTGCAGTGTAGCATAAACAATACAACAGCAATATATCTGTACCATCAGCACCATAACTTCTTCCTGTACTGATTCGTATTTGCCATTGCATAGATGTAGCCAGAAAAGAACCACTTTGTATAAGAAGCAGATACTAGCAGATTTGGAATAATCCTAAAATTTGTAGGGAATGAAAATGTATAATGAAAATAAACTCAGTGGTTGCTCCTCTCCCAGCCAGACTAGTGATAGATAATCCAGTGGCCCAGAAGGCTAGTAGCTCAAAGAGAGGAGGAAATGACCGCATAAGGAAAGGGGCAGTAATGGAGGGACTGGAAACAAGAAGAGAAAAGTGAACCTGCAGACATAAAGCAAAGACTGAGCTATCTCAGTGTTTGGTGACATTATTTCCAGGTCTGCAGTGGAATGTTTTTTTTAAACATACCATGAGGTAAATGTAAGAGCTGTTCATAGATCCCAGTAGAAAAACACATGTAGCTGGGATCAGGGATGAGTGTCTACTCTGCCAAAGTATCAGTTGTCATTGTTGGGTATGGAATACTGACTGATGATTGGGATTGGGAATAGGGATGGGGAAGGGAAGAAAGGAGACAGGTAGAGGAGAAGTGGAATGAAATGTCTGGATTGCAGAATAAAAGCATTCCGCTCAATTCCACTCATCGGTATTTTGCTTTAGGGCTTCACTAGCTGTAAGCTCACTCTGAGAGTCTTTGTGTAGCATAAGGATGCCTGGGCATACTCAAAACAGTTATAGGCACCAGATTTATGTAAATTTCTGTCATGCACTTGTAGTGTCTGAATAGCCACAGCTAACATTCAGTTTGTTTGCTACTGGAAGCAATGTGGCTGACATAACACTGTTGTAGCATTGTGATGCCAGTGAGTACCGTGGGCCACAAGGTGAGGTGTCACTGACATGAGGGGTAGCCATGTCAGCCTACACATATGGTCTCCTTCCTTCAGACATTAATAGAAGTGGTGTTGGAGCAGCTGCGTCAGAGTGGTCTCATGACAGTCCTGTAACTGGCCTTGAAACAGATTCTGGCATTGCCCATTGCTTCTGCATTCTCATCCCTTTAGGCAAGGATTACACAAACTGCTCCCCCCCTGGGTCTTGAATGCAACCCTCCATGGATACCCTGACCCTATTAATTTCCCACCTGACCCATTTCCCATTGATTTCATACAATTTGCTCTTTTCTCCTAGTTGCTTGCAGTGAACAAAGCAATTTGTTTCCAGATAGATAGTGGAGCTGGGGAGAAAAAGCTTTCCATTCTCTCCCCTGGAGATCAATTTTTTCTCACTCTGCAATAAAGTGGAGACAAATTTCTCCAGTGTGGAAAGAGGACCATGGGTCTCTGTCTGCCTCTGAGCCAGCATTATATGTATCCTTAGGGCAAAAAGCAAAGCAAAGCAGGTTTCTTATATACCACCTCAAAGTGCTTAAAGTACTCTAAGCTACACATTGCCCCCCACAACAATCAGGATACTTATTTTACCAACCTCAGAAGGATGGAAGGCTGAGTCAGCCTTGAGCTGGCTATCTGAGTCTGTCATGATCAAACTTAGGTCAGGAGCAGTCTTAACTGCAGTACTGCAGTTTAACCCCTGTACCACAATGCTCGAGAAGGTTTTGGCACTCTTTTAGATGATACGGCAAAAAATAAATTTGCCACCTACGTTGTCTCAGTTCCTTATGTTGATAATACTTTTGTGATCATGGCCATTCACTTTTCCCTCATGAGATTATCATTCACAGGTCATTACTTCTACGTTAATGAACCGAAACGTACTCCACACATTTCTGTCACAGGTACCAAGCAATCCATTTTGTTTTAATGCAATAATATTTGACAGTTAATGTATTCTCTGAGGCTAAGATTATGTGCTTGTGCAATCTCAAAAATTTGCAGACTGCATTCCATGCATACGTTAATGGATTTGGCTTAGAAAATGGGAACTGCAGAATAAGAACAAATGAGGCTGGAACAGAAGATGTCAAGGTATATATTAATTTTTTAAAGCATTGTGTCATGAATAGTCTATGCATTGTAGAGGATGATCTCACTCATATTTGCTCTGCATTTTTTTCCAGAAGCTTTTCGTCCAGAATATTTTCCCTGTCTTTGTGGCAGTCACCTATTCAAGTCTTATGGGAGTGAGTATTTCTGGATCTCCTCTGAGTTTGTATTTCAATTATTGCATTTTAGACTGGAATATAACTTCAGGAAATCTGAAAACCATAGGGGGAACAGGTGGGATGCTGATGGATAGATTGGGGAGGGCCATGTGGGCATTTTTCAGTAATGACTCAGGCCTATGATATTCTTCCTTGTTTCTCCTATCCTGGGTGACTTGTCCTTGGTTTAGTGGACTGGAGGCAGAATCACCAAGTGGTCTGCGCATATGCCAGGAGTGGGCAACTGTGTGTTGTTTAGTTTTCCCTGTGGAAGAGCATATTCCTTCGGGGATAATCTCTCAGGTACTATCTAGGGAGGGGGCTGAAACTAGTAATGAATGGGGACAGAGCCAGATGTAAACATATCTTTATTATTTCTTTTTCCATCCTATTGGGGAACAGAATGACTGCACTTATCAAGATCTGAAGCTCTGGTTGCTTTCAGAGGGTTTTTGAAATTTGGTCAAAGACTTCCTGAGATTGGGCCAAAGAACAGCTGTGGTCCTAAGACTACAGGTTGCCTATCTTGATACGCATATTAGCATACCTTACAGTGACAGTATTCTGTGATTTTAACTTGACTTACTCATGTACAGTGGATGTTTTGAACCTCTTCGGGGCATGTGGGAAGAAGTAATCGTAATGTATGTGAAGTGTATTGAGAAGACCACTTTACCAGATAAGGAGTAAAAAAAGTCACCTTGTGATCTTTTAGTGCCAATCTTAACTGCCACAGAATGGTAAACAGAAAGGATGAACTTTGGCTTTGATTTAGAACTAAGTTGATTCCTCTTATGTTCTTGAAGGGTACTCTTAACAATGGAGCGAGATAATGCTGTATCATCATTCCTGAGTGCAGGGGCTGCTTCACTTCACTCTTTGTTGAATATCCCTCTTCTGAGGGAGTCTGCAGCTGAAATTAAGTAGTAAGTTGCAACTAGAGTAGGCCTGCTGAATCAATGAAACTTACATAGAAGATGATTCACCAAGTCCCCACTGATTGATTCATTGGGCCTATTCTGGTTGCACCTTTACTGGGTTTTAGCCTATGTGAGTTAGTGTGGGAAACACACTTAGAATTTTCATGTGATTAACAGCCTTGATCACAGAAGGGTGTTAGTCTCAGGGAGGATTCACCCGCATTCATCAAGGATCTTCTTCAGGTTTTCCTGCTTAGTGTGTAATGCTCAGTATGAGACCTGGCACATAAAAGGATCTAGGCCAGTTAATTTAAACTCAATCACACCCTGTTTCTCTGTGTCAGCTTTATATTTTGTTGTCATGGTCGTAGCTTCCTTTTAGCTCAATGAAACTATACATGCCACATATAGATGCCCTTTGCCTACAATGGCTCATGTCACAAAGAATTGTTGGTGGCACTAATTACAAAACTAAGAAATATCTCACAGCATGTTGTTGTGCAATGGTTTGTATTTGTCAAGGTGTGTACAACTTCAGGCCCTTCAGATGTTGTTGTATTGCATCTCTAATCCACCCTAGCCAATAAACCAGTGGTGAGGGATTACAGAAGTTGCAGTCCAACATCTGAAGAACCATAAGTGGCCCACCACTGGTATATGTGGATTTTAATAACCATAATTGAATCCATTGTTTTTCAAGTTCTTTGGCGTAGTGTCTATGTATGCACACATAGGGGTTCTGCACCTGCATATACCTTGCTTTGGAAAGTTCCAGAGCCTCAAAAATGAAAGTGCCTCTCTGCCTATACCATACATGCGTGGCCCCACTTTCCTCAGTCCATTTTGTCCGCCACTACAACAGCATGCAAAGGACTGCTCTGGAGCCTGCACCTTACTTACTGTCATTTTGATAAGTTTTCTGACTTTCCTTCCTCCCTCCCTTCCTCCCTCCCTCCCTCCTTCCTTCCTTCCTTCCTTCACCTTAAAAAAGGGGGAGATTTAGGCAGTTAGAGGGAGCCCCCATCGCTCTGCTGCTCCCTTTGCCCCCAACAATTTATGACTGCTGCTTTGATGAAAAAATGTGCCACTTGTGGTGAGAAGATCCCACAATTGGATGGACACGACATTTGCCTTTTTTGCCTGGGAGAAACCCACTTAGTTCAAACTTGCAGAATTTGCAAAAGTTTCACTGCTCTTACACTTAAGAATTGGCAGTCTCGACTCTGATCCTTCCTCTGGAAACAATCCCTCTGAGCTGCGGATCCCCCTTCTAAGGCAAATCTCAGTCCACGGATGGACCAGACAACTCTACTGGAAAACCCCTGTAGCCTGAGCCCACGCCCTCATTTTCCTCGAAAACGTCTTTGAAGTTGATGAAGAAGTCAGGCGCAGTGCTAAAAAGCGACAGGTAGCCTCCAATATCAAGGTGACGAAAAGAAAGAAAAATAACAACAACCCGTGATGTCATTGCAGCTACCTTGGATCCCCAGCTACCGATCTGAGAGCCTACCTCTGCTCCTGCCAACACCCCATACACAGTCTCAGTTTCAGAAGGTGAATGCTTAAGATCCTCTGTGCAGAGCATCCCCATCTCACAAAGACTGCCTTCTCCTTTACAAGAGCTATTCTCCTCCATTGGAAGGAGGGCGAATGTTGAGACTGAGTTCCCTCTCCCTTACCCAACAGTTTCTGCAACCAAGACAATGCTACAGGGAGGATAGAAGACCTACATAGAGATCGATCTCACAGTCTCCACCACATCATTCCCAACCATTACTTGTGGTCCCCTTCAGTGGGCTCCTGGTATCATGAGGACCATTACTACGCTCATTTCTTCTGCCCCCCCCTTGCTTCATGTATGGGCACATGGCATAGCCATCCCAATCGTATAGAAGTTGATACTTCTATACAGTGCCTGGAGGCTGTACTGCAGTGGATGCAGGAGAACGGGCTGAGGCTGAACCCGGACAAGATGGAGGTGCTGAGGGTGGGCCCCCCCATGGTTGGGGATTTGGGAAACTCCCTCTCTTTTGGGTGGGTGACTCTGCCCGCCAAGGATGGGGTCCGCAGCCTGGGGATCCATCTGGACCCGGCGCTCACCATGGAATCCCAGGTGGTGTCCGTGGTCCGTACCGCCTTTTTTCATCTCAGGCGGATAGCCCAGCTACCTACCTTGATGTTGGGGCACTCACTACCTTGGTACATGCACTCGTAATCTCAAGATTAGACCACTGTAATGCGCTCTACGTGGGGCTGCCTTTGAGGTTGCTGCGGAAACTACAGGTGGTGCAGAATGCGGCGGCCAGATTACTCAGTGGAGTGAAAAATTTCCAACATATTTCACCCACTCTGGCCGCATTGTATTGGCTGCCCATCCGTTTCCGCATCGACTTCAAAGTGTTGATGCTTACGTACAAAGCCCTAAACGGTTTAGGACCTCGATATCTGGCTTAACGCCTACTCCCACCAAGATCTACCCGTGTCACTCGTGCGAGCCAGGAGGTGAGGCTGAGGAGCCTAACGCCGAGGGAGGCCCTGAAGGAGAAGACAAGAAATCAG